ACACACCCACACCCTTCCACCACACTCCCCACTGACATATACACATTTTCTCTGATTTAAAAAAATCCCCAATATTCGGTTAAAAAAGATGAGGATTTGGGGTTACTTTTTTTAACTGAAAATTGGGTATTTTTTTTAAATGGAGAAAACTAGGGTCCCTCATCATGACAAATATTTTTTTTGTAATTTAAATTACAATGTTATAGTAGGTGTTTGACTTCTAGTGTATTATTTGTTTTTTTTTCTGGTTCTAGGATGGCAACCCTCCCTTCCCAAAAGGAGTATTGTGGTGTGGAGGGGCAGTAAGGGGAGGGACTTCTGGTGGCAAAGGTCAGAGGTTAGGGGGTGGGACTTCTGGTTTCAATATGGCAACTGTCAATGGGTGGGGCTACCCATGTGGCCCTCAAAAGCTCACCAAAACTTGTTAAATGGCCCTCCAGCCAAAATAATTGCCTGCCCCTGTCCTAGTCTAAACTATGCCATTTTTCAGTAGTTCCTAAGTAGCTCTGTCCTTCAGTTTACCCAACTGTAAAATTGATGCAATACTCATCTTACCTCACACTGCTATAACTAATTGAAATGGAGTGTTTTGAGTTGAATGAGCGTTCTAAGTAATAAGTGCACACATTAGTTCTTGTTTTTAGAAGTGACTCAGTTCATAAAATCCAGACTTGAATTGGATCCACCCCAAAGGAAGAGTACTCTGCACTGCTCCGGACCTGTAGGGCGTGAACCAGGAAAGCCAAGGCTGTGACTGAACTCCAACTGGCTACACATACCAAGGTCAATAAAAAGTCCTTTTTTAGATATGTGGGGAGCCGGAGAAAAAGCAAGGGTAACATTGGACCCCTGCTAAACCATATGGGTCAACTGACAGCCGACGCTTAGGAAAAGCCAACCTGCTTAACGGGTATTTTGCATCAGTTTTTCACCAGCCCCAAGGGACAGCCTTGCTCAGTACGGTATGGGATGGCCAGAGCAAGGGAGAACTGTTGCCCTTCATCAATGTTGACCATATGAAGGACCACCTTGAGAGGCTGGACACCTTCAAGTCAGCTGGCCCAGACAGCTTACACCCCAGGGTACTTAAGGAGCTGGCAGGCATCATAACTTTGCCACTGGCACAGATCTTCAAGAACTTGTGGCGATCAGACTAAGTACCCAAAGATTGGAAAGAAGGCCAATGTGGTGCCTATCTTCAAGAAAGGGAGGAAAGTAGATCCGGGGAACTACAGGCCCGTCAGCCTGACCTCTATCCCAGGGAAGATCTTGGAGAAAATCATCAAAGAGACCATTCTTGACAAACTAGCTGAAGGCAATTTCCTGAGGGATAGCCAGCACAGGTTTGTTGTAGGCAGTTCTTGCCTAACAAATCTCATCTCCTTCTACGACCAGGTGACATATCACCTGGACAAGGGAGAAGTGATTGACATCATATATCTTGACTTTTAAAACGCTTTCAATCTGGTATCCCATGATTGTCGTATAGAAAATCTGGCCATCTGTGGCCTGGGCTACATCACAGTCCACTGTCTGGGGAATTGGCTTCAAGGTCAGACCTAGAGAGCGGTAGTTGACGGAAGTCCATCATTGTGGTGCACCGTGACCAGTGGGGTCCCCCAAGGCTCCATCCTTGGGCATATTCTTTTCAACATCTTCATTAACGATGTGGACATTGGTGTCAGAAGCAGACTGGCCAAGTTCGCTGATGACACCAAACTTTGGAGTAAAACGTCCACACCTGAGGATAGGATTGACCTTGACAGGCTCAGAAAATGGGTGGACGAAAACCTGATGGCCTTCAATGCCAAAAAATGCAAGGTAAAAAACCCGCAGCATACTTATAGGCTTGGCAGTGCTGTGCTTGCTAGCACTACAGCCGAAAGGGACTTGGGGGGTCATGATTGACCACAAGATGAATGTAAGCCACCAATGTGATGTTGCAGCCGGTAAAGTGAGCAAAATTCTGGCTTGCATCCATAGATGCTTCTCTAGCAAATCCCAGGATGTCATCCTCCCGCTGTACTTGGCCTTGGTGAGGTTGCAGCTGGAGTACTGGACCCAATTCTGTGCTCCACAATGCAAAAAGGATGTGGAGAAGCTTGAGAGAGTCCAGAGGAGAGCCACATGCATGATCATAGGCCAGGAAAACAGGCCTTATGATGAGAGGCTGAGAGCTATGAGACTCTTCAGCCTGGAAAAGCACAGGCTCAGGGGGGACTTGGTGGCTGCTTATAAGTACATAAGGGGTGTACATCAGGATCTGGGGGAACGTCTGTTCAACAGAGTGCCCCATGGGATGACAAAGCCAAACAGTCACAAACTTATCCAAAAACATTTCAGGCTGGATATATGGAAGAACTTCTTTACAGTCCAAGCCCCCAAGGCCTGGAACAGACTGCCACCAGAGGTGGTGCAATCACCTACTCTGGACTCCTTTAAGAGTCAATTGGACATTTTATCTTGCTGGGATCCTGTGACCCCAGCTGACTTCCTGTCCCTGGGGCAGGGGGCTGGACTCGATGATCTTCCAAGGTCCCTTTCAGCCCTAATGTCTATGAATCTATTAATTTCAATTATTCTAAAATTTGCATACTTGCATTTGAAGTTTTTTTTTAGTCCTACATGGAGACACAGTTGAGTTATGAAATTTGCATATAGTTAGGAAACTGGACCTTCTACCTTCTTTGAGGCTATGGGGTGTTTGGATGTTGGCTCTTGTTCTGGGGCCCATATCTGTTGCTTGTGACTGGATTTTCCTGTTATACTGTTTAGCCGTGATGTGTACAATAAATATTTTGACTCTCATCCCAGAGCGAAAGAAAGCCACCTTTCTTCTTAAGAGCACAAAGAGATGCTTGTGTACTTGCAGCATCTGGACTGACTGTGATCTCACTCCCAGCACATTTATTTTCATCCAGCTTTATTATTTCTACTACTATCAGCTTTGTTACACAGTGAGTGAGAAAGTGGGGCGGGGCATTACCTTGGTCAAATAGAATTTTTATGGATACCAAAAGAAGTGAAATTGTCAGAGAAGTTGGAATGAAACCAATTTACCCAGTGTGTACAAGTGTTGAGTATTTACCAATGTAAGTAGCTAAAAATGAATGCAGTTGAATGAACAGGCTGTATTTGATCCATAGCTTTTCAGAAAGTGCTTTGCGTGATGTATTGTCTAGTTGTATTGAAACATGTACTAGTAGCGCTGAAACAGCTATTTATCATGGGGTCTTAACCCTTTGATACAAAATGAGTTGGACTTTAACATGGGACTTTGGTTTGATGCAGTGTTTGCCATGGATTTGAGTTAGATGAAGATGCAAGGGTTGAATCCTGCAGGCTACTCAGAATGCACTCCTTACACTCCTGTTTGACTACAGGGCATTCATGGTTCTGCATAAGAACTGCAGGATTGGGTCCCTAGTCATGTACCATGTAACCTCTGTGATTCTGTTACATGTGAGCCAGCTGTGAAAAGTTTGAATTTACTTTTGAATTAAGTATAATTGCACGCTCTGCTTTTCAAATTTCCTCATGCTCATTCATTGTTTCTCATGAGCAGAGTAGAAAAATAGACTTTTTTTCTCTATCAGTTGTGCTTCCTTAATAAATATGCTTTTTTTTGGTTTATGGTTTTTGATCGTCTTGTAATGATTGTAAACTTACAAGGCAGCACATTATTTCTTTAAATGTGCTATATTTTTTACTTCACTGTTTCATAGAAGGTTTTCAAATGGACTTTAAAAGGGGCTGGATTATTGAAAAGAAGAAAAGAGAGACTAGGAGCTTGTCTATGCATGGACTCTCAGCAATAGTAAAGGAGACCTAGTAGACGTATGAAGTTATAGTATGTAAGTTAACTTTCCTATATAGATGCTCTTTTTTGGTGATTACTTTTATTGGTCTGACTGTTTAATTGGATAATAGGAGAGAAATAGGAGAGAACTGGATGACTGCATTCCCTTGGATGGAAGTGCTAGGAAACTGATGTTGCATCCCCCTGGATGGAAGTGCTAGGAAGATGACGTTAGTTTTGGTTTATAAGTGCTATTGGCAAAGAAGTAAGATTAGAACATTGACTTTGTTTGCCTTCACTGTGATTTCAAGTGGACCGATAAATTCCACAGCATGTTTCATTGCAGAGTTGGGCTTTTTCTTTTCTGATTTAAATGCCATTTTCTCAGGGTTTCTTAGTAAGCATAGCAATGGACAAGAAATGAAAATAAAGCAAATCTGAACAATAAATCAAAAGGTGAAAGCTGCAAAATGTTTATATATCAGTAAACCTTTTCAGGTATTAGGTCATTTTGGTGTCATTTGGATGCTCTTTAAGAGAAGTGGTATTTTGATGAATCCTAAATCTGTCTTTTTTATCAGGTTGAGTTATCCTGCTATCATCTAGGCCAACATCTTCAAAGAATAGTCGACTTTTAATTTTTCACTTGGACATGCTGGTCAGATTGTGCAAAGTACTTTCAGTTTTTGATTGTGAAACACATGATCATTCTAGTCATGGTCACTTGAGTCAGGGTAGATTCTGACTCATTTTGGTCTTTAGAACTGTTGAACTGAGAGATTTACAGGTCTCTTCAGGCATTTGATTGGAACAAAAATTAGCATTGCTGTGTTTGCTGCTCAGACATAATATTTTAGCACTTCTGGACTTCTGGGGTGTGTGTGTAGAGCTATACAGATAAGTGTAGAGGTGGTTGGACCTTACAGGTAAACCAAGCAAATGATATAGTAAAAGGACAAAATATATTGAAAGATTGAGAGGTTAACTACTGTTAGCCAAATTAATCTTTTCAGGATAGGATACTTATAAATAGACAAAAGTCTTGTTCCTCTGTATATTTATTCTATTCTAAAAGAAGACGTATATCTTAAAGGGCAGTAGGATTGACAAGATTTGTGGTAGAAGGAAGCTTTAAAAAGGTATTGGGGGGAAAAAACATCATTCAGTGTTTTATGTATATATTTCCTTTGCTTTATTTTAGTTTGCAAGTATTCGTGCCACAAGGAATGTGAAGTAAAGGTAAGCATCTTTCAAAAATTTATTTTATTGCTTGTTGATAATCCATATTTATTTAAATATTATTAGAAAAATTACATGCAAGCTAATAAAAATTAGGATTACTTAACTAGATGCTGAGTTGTCAAGAAATGATAAATATACGGTATTACTATCTTTAATTTTTCTGTCTAGCTTTAATCCTACAGTCCCTTTGATTTTTATTTATTTATTTATTTATTTTACCTACGTGAATGTATATGTCAATATCTATATTTATTTATCTGTCTGCCTATCTCTCTGGTTAAACAAATATATTCACTAACAGTGATGTTTCCAAAGCAGTGTGTGCTTTTTGTTCCCTTGTTACATTTGGCATAAAAGCAGAAGGAGAAGCCAACAGAAAATTGGGATGGTTTAAACCAATGTGCATGCAAAAGGGCTGTTCCTCAACATTTGGGGATGGCAAAGGAGTAATCCATGACATGTTGGAACAATTTTAACTTGGTGGCTGGGAGGTGGGCTGGGGGGGAGAAAAGGGAAAAAATAGTACACTTGAGGAGCCACCTGCTTTCATGGTTTTAAGATGTTTGTGTGTGTGAAGGAGCAAATTAATAACACATTCAGTATTTGTCTCCCCCTTTGGCTTTTCACATGGAACAACTGTAAAGATGAAAGCCATTATTATTATTATTGTATTATACAGATTTTTGTGTGTGGATAATTATATCTGTGCTGAAGAGTGTTGTTTTAGAGTAGTGGTTTTCAACCTTTTTTCATTTGTAGACCCCTAAACATTTTTGAATGGAGGTGCAGAACCCTTTGGAAATTTTGAAGGGAGGTGTGGTCCTCTTTGAATTTTAAGTTTGGGTATTGACATAGTCTTGATTTTTTGTGGACCCCTTAGATGTAGTATTCAGATCACAGGTAAAAACCCCACTGCTTTAGAGAATTTGCTATGGGCTAAAATTTGGCAAAGTGTAAAGTTTTACACTGTAGGATGTAAGAAATTGACATCTGGAAGAAAATTTACAATTAATGGTGTCACTCAGAAGTTACCTTTCTCCATTGGTCCAAGTAAGGGAGTGGAGATTAAAATTCAGGATGTTATGGGCAATGAAATATGTTTCTCTTTGGCAGGTGATGTCCCAACAAATAGATTGCCATCAGGGGATGCAGGAGGAGTCAAGCCAGGCCTTTGTGTGTTCCCATAAAGCTAAGAGTGGGCAGAGTTAGGTCACTGCTTGGCCAGCAAGCTTTCAGCCAGCACAGTTAAGTGCAGTCATGATGGCAGATTTCCTTTGGAATGCAGGGTTGTTTGGTGTATCATTGTGATATCGCACCTTTAAGGGCAGGAGCAGGCAGCTGCTAAGTGCCTGATGAGGGTGGCCATTTCAGACATAGGCCAGAGAGGCAGCAGTCTGTGTTGAGCAGCCAAGGAGGCAACATTGGGCTGAGCTGCTCCTGGAACACCTTGGAGGTAAGGGTGAGGCTTTGGGGAAGGAGGAGGCCTCATTGGTCTGGGTATGACCTGAAACCGCACCCTCCTGGGTATGGGTAGCCTGGCGGGGCTCCTAGTGGCGTGGAAGCCCCCAAGCAATGCCAGGCCTTTTACCTCCCTGGTGAAAGGCGAGGAGGTGCGCCCCATAACCCCAGCCCCCACACCCTCGTGGGTAACCCAACAAGGAGGTCGGTAGGACCAAGGGAGTCCAGAGCGAATGAGGGGCAAGGAGCCCAGAGTTTGGGAAAGGGCATGGAGCCTAGTGAGAGGCAAGGATCCCAGAGACTAGGAGCCTAGAGTGTGTGAGGGGCATGGAGCCTAGTGAAGAAGCAAGGAGGCCAGAGGCTAGGAGCCCCGAGTGTGTGTGTGTGGTGGGGGGGGGGCAAGGAGCCCAGTATGAGTGAGGGACATGGAGCCCAATGAGAGAGGCTGGAGTTAGGGGCCGGGATATGATTACATCTTGCCATCTGCAAGGTATGGGCCAAGGTGTAGGGGAGGTACAGAGCCGTGGATAGCACCCCCTGGCATCAGGGCATGTAATGGGCAGCATCCCGCATTTACCACCAGTTTATTGTAATAGCAAAGTCGTGTCAGGTGAGACTGGGTGGACTGCCTTACTCGAGACTCAGTCCTGAGCTTGTCTCCTGTCACAGTCATCTTTCAAATGAGCTATAAAATAGATATCCTAAATATGTGTGGATTGTAAACTCCAACACAGTTGAGATAAAGGTATAGTGACTGTACAGTACTTGACTGGGAATAGCCTGTGAAATTAGTTGGCCTGTATTATATAGGCATAGGTTTGCTGTGGAGTAGGGTGTGAGCATGACCATGAAGCTCTGATTAGGTAAACTTCTGTGTTTGCTTTTTCAGCAGATCATAGGCCCTTAATGCAGTATAAATGTATCTTCCCATAAAAGCAGGAAGTCCATTTTTCCCTTTATTTTAATACTGTCTGTCATCTGAGTTTTGGCACTGAAAATATGATTGCATAAAAATAAAAAAAATAGGGTAATATTAACTTTACAAATACTAAGATCCCTGTATATTTTAGAATTATAAGTTGAAGGATATTAAATTATATTAGCACGTATTACAGAATATCTGTATTGTGTGTTGACTTTGCAGTTAGGGATGTGCAAGCAAAATTAATACATGGAAGCAGGATGAGGCTGAATGTTGTGTGACTCCAGATGAGCCAGGCTTTCTCTAAATTTTGAGAGAGGGATGTAAGTGAACCATCAAGGGACCAGAGGTCAGGCTCCTGACAGATTTTATGCTCTTCATGCCAATGGAGGGTTCTTGCTCGATGTGCTGTTGAAAATTAAAAGGAAATGGTGGTGTCAAACTGTTCCTTCAGTCTGACCTCAGATCAGAACCTTGTGCTTAAGGCCTCACTCAGCCTGAAAATTAAAGCCTCTCTAAGATGATTCTTGATTCAGACAAATCAAGGTATAGTTTGGCCTTTAAAAAATTTTTTTCTTAGGTTAAGTTTAAGGTTACAGGGCTTTTCAAAGAGGGAGTATATTTTACTGAAATAAATATATGGGAAGGACCTTGCAGACACTGCAGGTAGTGAAGCAATGAAAATCGTTACCAGGAACTTTTTAGAAGCTGTTCCATATACCATTGAAATCAATGGAAAGGCATTCATAAACATCAAGTGGAACTGCCCCCATCTGCCCAGTATGCATTTTATTTCCTATTTAAGTATTACTCTGTGGTGCCACTCTATCTATAGCTTAAGATTAGTGTCTGCCATATTGGTCTCCATCCTGTTCATGTGCTGGTACAGAATAACCATCTTTGCAGCAATGAAACATACCATGAGATATAAGGTCAGCAGTTAGTCAGCTGAAAGTTATGCAGCAAGGAAGTGCATGAGGGAACAGTTGCATTTTTGTTACTATCGTATCTGCATTGAGGACAACAATGCCTGTGTATGCTAAGGGCCTGACCCAGAGCCCACTGAGGTTAGTAAACGTGCATGAAGGCATTATTACATGTGGCTCAAACAGCAGAGCATTTTAATGACCCCAACTACTGTTTGATTTTTTTTTTCTTTTTTTGTGTGAAATACAGCAAAAATTATTAGTCAGCAAAGTAATAGAAAGTATTGTTTTGATCATTTGCAAATAATTTCATGGTACTTTGGATATTGGTAAATAAATAAAAAAAGCACTTCTTTATTGATTTAAAAAAATCATCCTTTGAAATAGAATGGATGCAGGTTTGACAGAACTTGGTCTGAATGTAAATAGCTCAGAACAGTATTAGGGCTCCTGTTGTCACGGAAGTTGTAAGTTTTGGCATTTTCATCTTTGAAAAGTAGTTTCTAGTCCCATTATTTTAAGACCAATTTCCATAATGTAGAATCTGAACACAGTGCAGAGTATTTTGCATATGAAGAAATAAGAATTATATATATATAAGGGCTTAGTCTGTCTATCTGTGAGTCTGTCTGTGTCTGTCTATCCATAGTTTCATAGTAGCTAGGGTCAGGGGGGACCTGAACAGATCATCTAGCCTGACCCCTTGCCACAAGCGGGAATGAATGCTGGGTTCACAAGACCCCAGACAGGTGATCGTCCAACCTCCTCTTGAATATGCCCAAGGTAGGGGCGAGGACCACTTCCCTGGGAAGTTGGTTCCAGATTTTGGCCACCCTAACTGTAAAATATTGCTTTCTGATCTCTAACCTAAACCTGTTCTCCATCAGGTGGTGCTGGGGAGAAAAGGGCTCTACCTATTTGCTGTTGATCTCCCCTGATGAGTTTGTAGGCAGCCACCAGGTCCCCCCTCAGCCTCCTCTTGCTGAGGCTGAACAGGTTCAGGTCCCTCAGTCTCTCCTCATAGGGCCTCTCCTGCTGCCCTCTCACCAAGCGGGTGGCCCTCCTCTGAACCCTCTCCAGGCTGGCCACATCCCTTTTGAAGTGCGGTGCCCAGTACTGGACACAGTACTCCAACTGCGGCCTGACCAAAGTCGCATAGAGGGGGAGTATCAC